TTGAGCAAGAAGTTAACGCTGAATGATAATTTACTCACTCGAAATTCTTTGTCAAAATCCTCTTTGTTTTAATTTCACAATCTACAAAAGCCATCCTTAATTTAATAATTAAGTGAGTGAAATCCGAAAATTAATTTGTACCAATTTTATGACATTTTGCAAGTTTTGATTCTTTTTCACTAACTCCAAATTCTTTCTCGGTATTTTCATAATTTTATTTTATATTCTTTTCTCAAATGATGCATCATTTTCAATATGATACATTCATTAGTGATATGCAATATTTACTTGAATATTATTGAAAATATTTTTTCAATAATTCCATACTTCATGTCCGGCAGATATATCTGATTCGAATGATAATTCCTGTTTGTATTTCGGCATATCGTAAAAGTTAAGTTATTAGCAGTCACTAACGTTGCATTCAACTTCAAATCGATTGCAAAATTTCTTGACTGTTATTCGTATTTGAATTTTTCAGAAGGAATACCAGGAATCTGATCATTGTATTGGAAAAGTTGATAGAGAAAATTAATTTAATTAAGATTTAAATCAAATCAGTAGCGGAAAATAAAATGTTTCGCCATCAATATACAAAAAGAACTGAAAAGAGCGTCATTTCGAACTGTGTATCAGAAATATTGCAACACTAAATGATAAATTTTGAGAAGAAAAGAGAATAATTTTGACCTTTCACGAAAATGATCGTTTATTGGCACGTATCGATTGATTAAAAAACATTCACACAGAATGTGTTGGTCAAACAAATTTGAATGGCTAAAGTTACAATTAAAAATTGAAGAAGCAAAAAGTGATGGCGAGAAACGCCATGAGTTTAATCGAAATGAAATCGATGCGATATGCTTTACTACGACAAGGTCGAATAGATCCGGGGGACATATCCTGCTCCGTGTTTCCAATAGTCATTCGGTCATAATAAGTAACAAGAAGGTCCAAAATAATGCCATTTGTCCAACCGTAACCATCCTGGAAATGGAGAAACGGTTGCTACTTTGGGTTTTCGCGAATAAAACAAAAGCATAAAATTTCATTAAAATAACGTGAATTTCAAATGACACAATTTTGGATACCTGTACAATATGCTCACCGCCAACTCCTGGCTTGGGAATTGTCCGAGCGACATCAATCTAAACAAGCAGTCTGAACAAGTTAATTGGTCAATTCTGACTTATTGTGATTAATTAGAAATTCTGACTTATTGTGATTAATTTTTCTATGTGTTTGTAATTAAATATTCACCCTACCTATTTCAGAAGAAGAGCTTGCAAATATTTTTTTAAGGATTTTTGAAATAAAAATTTTGTGCGAAACTGTAACTCGAAAGACCAAAGCAAACCTTTTCCCACATTTTCTTGGTTGTCTGATATACCTTATAATTGGCTATTATCCATTTTCGTGCTAGTTCGAATGCCTATATAATCCAACCATTATGATTTTTTGAAATGCTTGCATAAAATTTGGAAGGAATAAATTACAGCAGAGATTGGATTACTATGCAAAAGACAATTCAGTGTCAGATTACCATCCGCTGGGCCTCCGGGTCGCCGGATCTTCGCATCCCTTCGATGATCATATGCTGCGTGGGAGGCCAACCGTTCGGTAAATCCCACTGTTGCCCGCTGTTGTTTACACTTGCCGGTATACCACCGGGATAATCAAACACGCGTGATCGCTACAGTGAATTTCAAACTCAGAAAACAATTTGACATTAATGAGTGAAAGATCTGCAAGGACGTGAAATACACAAAGTAGGGAAGACTTTGAATTCGGTGCCAAAATTTCCACCATTTCTATTCATATCGCATTGGAATCAGAATCATTTGTCGAATTTTACATTTCTCCAATTCAGTTCTCATCTAACTTTTGCAACTTTTGCATCTCCAACTGTCTTCAAAGGTATTTCAAAAGAAAACCAATAAAATTTACCTTCATAAAATGAATAACTCCAGCTACTTTATTGAAATCCAACATTGAGTAGCAGCCTGTAAACAAAGGAATCGCAACGGTGGGGTAAAACAAGACGTTGTGCGATTTGGTGCGCAAATTGTAGTCGAACCAAGCCTTTTCCACGTTGTTGTAAAATATGGCATTTAAGGCTTTCGAAGCATTTTGTCCTCTTTCCTCAAATTCTTTTGCTTTCTCCTTATCACCTGTTGTGATTGATATTGTTACATTGTTTAAGGGAATTATGTCGACTCTCAGAAGTGGCTGTCTCAAAATATCATTGTAAGTGTTAAAGAAGTGGAAAATATACCGATAATATCGGCAAAATATTTGAGAATATTAACATTCCAACAAAGTAATGCATTCAGATCGACTGGTAAAATATTAGTCGTTTCAATCGTTTTCATTCTCCGTCGATCACCAAACCACCGCGACGAAAAGTCCCAACCGGATTCCGTCGCTGACGCAATATCCTGTAAAACAGCGGTTACTCTCCACAACACCATTCCGTCCCCGTTCACAAGAATTTCACCTGAATATAATATACACCGTACAAAAATGGTTCCCCGTACAGTACCCTAATATCTACAGTATCTCAATTTAATATACAAAAATAGCTATTATATTTTATGAACGACAAATTGACAGTACTGCGGGACAGGATATTTTTTTATCCTATTTTACTGCATGAACATCACTACCTGAAAGAATTTTTGTCTTTTATTTTCTTTCACTTCTACAGCAGCCTGAAGATCAACTCGGAATGATTCCGGACGAGGTATGTTCGACGTAGTACGGTATTGATATACAACATGTTCATAGCCTTTCTTATCTTTTATTTTCATTGACCTTAACCGTTCACAGTTCATTTTTATTTATTCTCTGAACTTCTAACTTTTAGGATCGAATAATATCAACTTGGTATTCAGCGAGAAGATTACTTTGCCTATCAGTAATTAGTTCCCGAATATCAATTTAAATAAGTGTTTACTGATTGATTATTTACCTCTTCTGAACCCAAAATTCATACTCTTTCACAAGATGGCCGAAATTTTCTTTAAGAAAGGTAATATCTCCTGTAGCCTTATAATATTCATATACCATTGGGATAAGAAACGGCGGATTTGAACGCCTCAAATAATAAACACGTCCGCCATTCGGTACAAAACCAAATCTGAAATAAAAAACTCTCTTGAAATGCATAATAATCCCACAACATTAAAAAGCATAAGCAAAGTACCGAGCAATACAGTGCTGGAACCGTTCAAGGTATCATCCGAAACAATTATTTTCTTCGTACTCAATGATAATTTCTCAAATAAATGTTAGGCTCTGCCTCTTATTAATCATTGGCTTTTCTCTTAGAAACTAATCGTAAACAATTTCAAATTTCTGGCTTGTAGAAAATATCTCTGATTGTTAGAAGGCCTATTCCATTATATTAAACCTTTTCATTAATTCACTTATTCAGCGCCTAGGCTGTCTTCCATAAGTTAACATTTCCATTCTTGAAATGTCTTTTCGGACTGGAAGGTCGATCGCTCGAGACAATAAATGGATGGGTACTCGGATTATGAAATTCCATTAGAGCTCTTTATATTTAATAGATTAATATTTCACAAAATTAATATTTCACAGTCCGCCGATGAAACATACATTAGCATTAATTTGGTAAAGTTACGAATGACAAAAACTTATTTTTTGACACAATAAATAAAGTTCCTCAGTATATTCTTGACCATTATGTGGAGGTCACTCGCAATCAAACCTTTCACAATCCAATATGTATCCCAATAGTAAAATTCCTTGAATCGACCGCCTGACACAATAAATGGATAGGGTACTTCGATCAAAGAATTCCGGTTCGGATTTTCGATTTTAACGACCTTGAAATTTATTTATGTAAATTGATTCCTCAATTCTAAAAGTATGAATTCGGGTAGTGATTCTTCAAGGAATTAAATAATATTCCGCTTTTTCCAAAAGTATAATTCGCGGATTCTGATAATTACGATAAAAAATACCGTATATTCTTCTCACCTGTCTGCATAGGTCTTTCCATTTTCGATTCAGAAATACCGCAAAAAATCTCAATGTTTTATCTCTTATCCGAGCTATTTTCGGTGGCAATTCCTTCCATTCCGGAATGAAACAACTATTCAATTCCGTTCCGGGCTCGCCAAAAAAACGTTTTCGAAAATCTATGAGTTTCCGCACATTCATATCTTTTAGCGGGATTCCTCCGAATTCTTTTTTAAATTCTTTTAAAACAACTTCTAAAATAAAATATATGAAATGCATAATCAACATTTAAATGAGATATTTTCCAAAGAACAACGTTTTAAAATAGAAATCATAGAAGAGATGAATTTCAGTTAAAATATAGAAGTGATTTTCTCGAGATGTTTGCTAAATGAGCGACTCTTTTCTTCTTCCCATCAAAAAGGTCAGTAAGCAAAGAACACTTCCACCTGGGTCATCTTTCATGGGTCTGTCAACAAATGTCTTTGAATCTGTTTCAAGCTGGTGCAGATCCATCGCTGCAACAATTGAACCGCTACAATATATGTTCCTGCAATGATTACATCGAAGGAAGTGCATTCGAGATGGTGCCCAAAAGAGTTTCATAGGAAAGCATCCACTTTTTAACGGGGAGTAACGCATCCCATCACTTTGAAATCTAATTTATCAGAATATAGTCGAATCCTTTACTGATTAAATTCAAATTGACTATCTATTCTATCATAGCACTCTTATCACGAACCAATTTTCAGTTTTGTCTGTTTCATCGCACATGTATATATTCGTTGCATTTCTTTTTTCGATATCTTTTATCACTTCATAGAGTTTCAGAAGAGACGGCTGTGACAAAAATACGATTCGTGTCAAAGTACCCATCATAAACAGAACACAGTACATACAGTGCCACCACCACATTCTGAAATATTGACTTGTGAGATTTCACTGCATCAAACTTAACTCTTCCCTTGTGACCAATGGCCATCGGTCACGAGGCATATATTCGCTATGCATTTTCACTATGCTGTTGGGAAAATTTATATTCTCTCTTACAATGAATTCCATTTTAATATTGACAATATTGCATTTATTTCACTCTGATCAAAAATTTTACTTAAAATATAGAGAGGAGAGAGAAGTTAAAGAGTACTGAAATTTTTAATTTAATTCGTTAATTACAATACAGTCCTAACATCTACAACTTTTCTGTTATCTGATGTTAGTGAGGAGTGACCTTGATCCTTTTTTGTCCTTAGTATGGAGAGAAGATGACCTCAACTTGTTCACTTGGCCACTCAAAAATTATGACACTCAGAAGAATGTTCATTCCAAATATATTGAGCATTTATATATTAATAAATTTCATTTCATTTTTTGTTATCTCGAAATTTGCATAGATTTCAGTAAATTTCATCCTTACTTCTTTTTATTTAGCCAGTTGCTTTCAAATGATTCTAAATTTTTAAATTTTAATAATTATATCTATTTGGCAATTTTCAGTTAGCCTCGTTGTTTTCCAGAAGACATGTTCTCTTTATGCAATTGGAGCAGTAATTAATATCTGTGCTAGAATATAATCAATTCGGAAGGAATCCTTTTTGTTTGGAATCGATTGGTTGGATGGGCGAAAAGCAATAAATTCATTCAGCATTGTTTGCATAATATTTTGAAAAGTCGGAAAATTGCCGTCCATGTGATTCATTAGCAGATATGCTAGCGTTAGGGAGCGGTTGCTGTCGATGAACTGCTGTAGAATTGAGAAGCGGATTCTGCAGTCATTGTCCATCTCCGGTAACTTTTTGGATTCGTCATTTTGGATTCGTCTCATTATTTTTATTCTTACATGGTTTATGCATATAAGTTGTTTAGTTCACTCACCGTCAAGTGAAAGGTTAAAAGTGTTTTTCATTTTTCTCAAATTGTTGTGAAAGTGTTGATTGATTATTGTTGAGAATTGTATTGGGACAATTTTAGTATCAAAGGTGAAATGATCAGTAGTTGATTTGATGATAGTTGGAAGTGGAGACGATTAAGCGTATAGGTGTTGAAATGATTGAATAAAAGAGAGTGTCCCGATGATATATTTGACAGTTTATATATCCAATGTGGGGCAGTACCAGAATAATAGATAATGAGTTTAATGGCTAATGCCAGGGTCAGGTGATTTTATGTTGGGGAAGGAAAAAGCGATGGGAGCAAAGGGGTATTAGCTACATCTGCTACCATTAGGACAAAGGAACAAAGGCGTTGTAAGGAATCTCTTAATGATTTGTAGCAACACAAGGAAATTAAATTTAA